GCACAAAACAAAATAAAACACAATAAAACACAATAAAACACAATAAAACACAAAACAAAATAAAAGACAATTAAAACAAAATAAAACACAATAAAACACAAAACAAAATAAAACACAATAAAACAATAAAATAAAATAAAAGACAATTAAAACACAATAAAACATCACTCAAACACAAACTGTCACAAATGATCAGTGAGTGTTTGTGCTCCTGGTGCTCTGGAACTCCACCTCATGGCTCCTCCAGCTTTGGAAACAGCAGATCACGCACCTCCTCTCCCTTTGGCCCTCCTGTCTGATGTCCTCCTGAAGCTGGATGGTGGTGGTGGTGTTTTAACCCACACCTTCCCAGTGCCTCGGTAACATGCTTCTGGAGTTTGTGTCCTCCGTGCACCTCTTCATATGAAGCATGACAAGCTCTTTGCCCAGCTCCTTGATAAAGAGCCGGCGTGCATCACTCGCACCGCCCATAAGATCAGGGTGGTGTGCACTGACTGGTAACATCCAGCATGTTGCACCAGAGAACAAGCCCCCCCCCCCACACACACACACACACACACACACACACACACACATCAACTCTGTGGATAAATACATCAAGTTCACGCGAGAAGATGTAAAAAATGGCAGGTTGGATTTCTTGGACTGTGAGGTCTCAGTCTCTGATAGAGGACATTTGCAAACTGAGGTGTACCGCAAACCCACACACACAGACCAGTATTTGCAGTTTGACTCCCATCACCCTTTGGAGCACAAGTTAGGAGTCATCAGGACTCTGTACCACAGAGCAGACAGCGTCCCCACTAACTCAGGAGCCAGGCAGAAGGAGAAATCCCACACAAGACAGGCTCTAGAGCAATGTGGATATCCTAACTGGGCCTTCCTGAAAGAAGAAACCCAAACAGGACTCCAGTCAGCCATCAGGTGAAAAGGAGGAACCCAGACCCAGACCAGTGGTCATTCCAGATGTTGAGGGAGTATCAGAGAAACTGAGACGTTTATTTTCTAAACATAACGTCCCAGTGGCTTTTAAACCCCAAAATACATTAAAGACTGGTTCATCCCAAAGATCCAGTCCCCCGGCACAAACAGAGTAATATTGTGTATGTTGTTCAGTGTCAGGAGGGTGATCAGTCTTACATCGGGGAAACTAAACAGCCACTGGCCAAAAGGATGGACCAGCACAGAAGATCAACATCATCAGGCCAGGACTCTGAGGTCTACACTCATCTCCAGGTCAGAGGTCACTCTTTCAGGGATGAAGATGTTCACATCCTGGACAGAGAGGAACGATGGTTTGAGAGAGGAGTAAAGGAGGCCATCTTTGTGAAAAGAAACCGTCCATCATTAAACAGGGGTGGAGCCTCCAGGTTCAACTGTCCCCCTCTTACAATGCTGTGATTGCTAGTATCACTCAGCCCTCTGTGAACAGTAAACAGCCATCAGGTGCTAATGATCCATTGTTAGGCTGATGGTCCTTCTTGAGCATGTGATCAGCTGGTTCTGGTTGTCAGCAGCAAACTGGTTGATCCACTCTGAGAAGGTGCTATTTAAGAGACTGAGCTGAAAACAGCACCTCAGACTGAGGAAGTTCTCAGGATGAGAGACGAAACGTTTCTACAATTTTTGTTTTGTTTAGGTTTCTTTTTAATGTCCCGAGGACCAGGCTTAATTTTTTTAAATAGGCTCTAAGTGCTTTGTCAGGTATGAGAAGGAAGAAGCACGATGAAGGGTTTTAGAAAGATTAAAGAAACATTTATGCCACAAATATACTACAAAAAGAGTCAGGAAGTAAAAGTATTATAGTAAAAGTATAGTAAAAGTATAAGTAGGCAATGTGTTCAACATAATGGTACTTCCTCCAGTTATTTAACAGTCAACAATGGTGTACCACAAGGCTCAGTCTTAGGACCCACCCTCTTTACAATCTACATACATAATGTAGGTAAAAACATCCCTAATGCATCCATACATTTCTATGCTGACGACACAGTTGTTTATTGTCGAGCTAAAACTGTTGCTAAGGCTTTCCAGCTTTAGAAATCTGCATTTAACTACATCCAGACTGATTTGTTCCGCCTCAAACTTGTCCTAAATGCCTAAAAAAACCAAAGGGATGCTTTTTTCAAATAGGAAGTTGGTCCCAGCAGTTCTTCCTCCGATTTTATCCTCAAAAGGTGTCCCCATTGAGTTTGTTGATTCCTATAAATATTTGGGTATCTTGGTCGACTCACATCTCTCTTTTAAGCTCCATGTGGAAAACTTGATAAAGAAACTGAAAGTTAAACTGGGTTTCTTTTTCAGAAACAGATCCTGTCTAACTCTGAATGCTAGAAAACGCCTTGTATCTGTGACTTTCCTTCCCTCAGGTTACTGTAAATTTATTGGGGAATTGTT